ACATATGACATCCTATGTAAGTAGCTCCAGTTTATCTTTTTACCCCTTCCCTCTGATGTTTTATACTTTCGATGATGCATTTTATATCTTATTTTATATATCTCTTAATTAAGATTGTACATTTTAGTTACTCTTGCTACTTGTCTTTTAACTTTCATGCTTGCTTTATAAGTGATTGATTCACTGCTTTTATTATATGTTTGCCTTTTCCAGTGAGATTTTTACTTTCATGTGTTTTCTTATTATTGATTATTGCCACTTCTTTTCAGCTTAAAGAAGTCTTTTAAATATTTCTTTTAGGGCTGGTTTAGTGATGATGGTTCCTTTAGCTTTTGCTTATCTAGGAAATCCTTGATCTCTACTTCAATTCTGAATAATAACCTTATTGGGTAGACAGTTTTGGTTGGAAATTTTTCCTTTTCAGCACTTTGAATATGTCATGCTACTTCCTTCTGGCTGAAGGAAGTTTTTACTGAAAAATCTGCTAAAAACCTTATGGCATTTCCCTCATATATAGCAAGTTGTTTTTCTCTTGCTGCTTGTAGGATTCTCTCTCTATCCTTAACTTTTGCCATTTTAATTGTAATGGATCTTTGTGTATGTCTCTTTGGCTTGAGCTTATTTGGAACTCTCTGGCCTTGCAGAACCTGAATGTCTATTTCTTTCCTCAGATTAGGGATATTTTCAGTCACTCTTTCTTCAAATAATTTTTTTGTTTTTTTTCTTTCTCCCTTCTTCTAGGAATTCAAGATTAATAAATGTATTTCCCTCACCTATGGGCAATGGACTTTATTGTTTTTGCATGAGTTTTCAGGTCTAGTGAATTTATGCATGAGCCGTTTAAGACTATATTTTTTATTCTGTAGTTTTTCTGGGCATATTCTCTGTTGATTTTCAAAGCCAGTTCTTTGCAGGACCTAGGAGTTGGTTTGCTTGATATGGAGCTTGAATCTCTTGCTCCTGAGGGAAATGATTTGTTCCTTGATGATCCCTCCCAATTGTGATTCACTGAGTCTGGAGTGTGGGTTTTTTCCTTGGTGAGACTGTGTCTCTATCTGTCTTCACAATCTCTTGCTGTTCTTTTATCCTTTGTTGAGGCTGTTCTGTTTATCCAGTTTTTAGGTCCCTTTCTGTTGGAATTATTCCATATGTAGCTGTAGATTTGTTGTGTTCATTAGAGGAGGGGAGTTTAGAATCTTCCTACACCTCCACCTTCAACCCTCAATGTAGAAAAAATTGGAAAAATATAGAATAAGTGAAAAAGAGGAAATGTTCCTCTACCATCCAGGGACAACTGGTACTAATAATTTGTTGCCTCACCCCACCTCTTTACTGACATCATACTGTTTATTGTAGAGATATCATTAATGTATCAGATTAGTCAGTTCAGTAAGCTGGTCATGCTGTGAGAAGCATGCAAGGCTAAGACTGGCTGAGGAGACAGTACATTCATGCTCTATAGGAGGTTCTTTTCATTTAGAGGAATTGGTGTATTTCTCTTTTTCATGTTGCTAAACTAAATTTAAATAACTTCACAAGCATGTTTGAAGCATCTCTGCTTTTTATAATTTTATATCCTTTTTTTTTCTGATAACATTTTCTCATATCAGAAAATCCTACATATATTCCCTCCCTTTTGAACCTCCCTCCCATCTCCCTCCCCACCCCACCCCTCTAGGTTGATACAGAGCCCCTGTTTGAGTTCCCTGCATCATACAGCAAATTCCCGTTGGCTATATATTTTACATATGGTAATATAAGTTTCCATGTTACTCTCTCAATACATCTCACCCTCTCCTCCCCTCTCCCCATGTCCCTAAGTCTTCAATATAAAAAAATTTTGAGCTGTTTTAGTCTTGTTTTTCTTACTATGTCTTCAAATTCCAGTTTATATTTTCCACTTACGGCACATCAGTTCAGACTAGCCGTGTTTCAAGTGCTCTGTAGCCACATGTGGCTAGTATTAGCACAGTCCTAGACCATATAATTTTCTCCATAAGATGTGATAAAATAGCACTTTCCAGGTACTCTACAAGGGGGTTAAAGAGAAGAAAGCAGCAAAGCAGGGTTGCACTGTGGATGTTGAGCACTCACTTTGGTGCCTCATGAAATTTTAAAACTTTGCCTCAATGAAATTACACATTCTTGTATTTATGGATCTTCATGTTATACATGCTAAGTTGCTTCAGTTGTGTCTGACTTTTTGTGACCTTGTTGACTAGCTCACCAAGCTCCTCTCTCCATGGGATTCTCCTGGCAAGAATACTGGAATGAGTTGCTGTGCCCACTTCCAGGGGATCTTCCCAACCCAGGGATCAAACCTGTGTCTCTTAAGTCTCCTGCATTGGTAGGCTGGCTGTTTACCACTAGTGCCACTTGGGAAGCCCTCATGTTACACAATAATGTTAAATTTGTAGTCATCCAAAGGTTTGCTAGATGTAATACTTGAAGTTAATTCTCAGATAGTCAATAAAATCAATTCCTACTAAGGATTTTGGATAACAAAGAGTTTGCATGAGTTTAAGACCTGAGGAGAAATAAATTTTTATTAATCATGTACAGAAAACCTTTATGAAGTCAGTAACAAAGACATATACACATGTATGTATTACGTATGGACGTGTAACTTACATATCTATGTACACACACATATATACACATTTATTGTAATCCTTATCATAATTTTTAAGGAACAGTAGCAATTAAAATCATTCTCTTCTTTCTAAAATGAATTTGTGACATGATAAGAAAGGTGTGGCATGATCAGGAGGCTAGTGGTATAAATTGAATATATAAAGTAGAATATTGAAAATGCTTTGCTTTTAATTTGTGATCATGGGGAAAAAATTCCTTAACATCTATAAGCTTTTATTTTGTTTTGTAAAATGGAGATAATCCTGCTCTTTTTTCTCAATCTGATTTTTATTATCAAGTTGGATGAAGGAAGCCTGAAGGGACATACTTATTCATTTATAAATGAATATTGAATAAACATGCTAAATATTGAATACAAAAGTTGAATGTATTTATAAGAACTTTCTAAACTGAGAGTCCTACAAATGGAAACTACTGGACTTGATTTGTATTTTCTTCTTATTTAAGGTGTTTACTGGAATGTGAGAAGTATAGTAATATTTGCCTTGTACAAACCATAGATAGGATTGCCTGTTGTGGTTGTATTTTTCTTTACCATTAATATTTTATCAGATTTTATCTTAAACATTAGCTATATGTCTAAATTCTAGGGATTCCCTGGTGGCTCAGGGGTAAATAATCTGCTTGCCAGTGCAGGAGACACAGGTTTGATCCCTGTCTGCGAAGATCCCACATGCTATGAAGCAGCTAAGCCCAGGTGCCACAGCTACTGAGTCTGTAGTCTAGAACCTGGGAGCTGCAACTACTGAAGTCCGCACACCTAGGGCCCATGCTCCGCAACAAGGGAATCCACTGCAGTGAGAAGCCCACACACTGCAATTAGAGAGTAGCTCCCTCTTGCCACAGCTAGAGAAAAGGCCGCACAGCAACGAAGACCCAGCACATCACTCCCCCCAAAAAAGTTCTAGCACTTTAGCATCTTTACATCTGTTAATAGTATATATGCAGTTAGAAATTTTGTTGTTATTGTGAGATAGACATGACTTTACTGTACCCAATCTTAAAGCTCATCCTGATCGAGACGCAAATGCAAGCTCATTGGATGCCAAAATTGTTTTGGAAGCAAAGTAGCAATATATAAATAACTTTCTGTAACTGCACACTTACTTGGTCATCTGTAGCAATTGAAAATTTGGATATTTCCCATTTTTAGGGTACATTTCCCCATTTTTAGAGATATTTCTCATTTTTAGGGTATATTCATTTTTTTCTATTAGGAATGAAATAAGCAAGCTGCCTGTGAGATAACGTGTGTAGTATGACATATGCCTTGTTGTTTCCTGGGTGTAAGTGAGGAACTTTAGGGGAGAAATTGAATGTTGGCAGTGTACTAGGACACTGTGAACTAAATGATACTGTCTGAAAGTAGTTGGCATACTTTTCTGTTTTTATTATATTCTCCCACTTCTACCTTCACCTCAAACCTTCGAGTATCTTTGGATATTTGGAACAGAAAGATAATCCAATCATACTTGATTTTTTTCCCCCGTTTTTCTTCACATGATGGTAAATATTTAAAAGTTTTAGTGAGAAGAAATATAGTAGGTATTATTAAAAGGTATGTGCAGTAATACTGTAGAACACTTGGCCAAATGAAAAATGAGTGATCTGTTGATTAAATGAAATGATTTGCCTCAGTATAAGGCAGGGAAGAGATAACTTGCTTCTTCTCTTCCCTTGTTGATCTTTTTCCCCTGATGGCTAGAAGTGCATTTTTAAAGCAATTCTGATATGCAAAATTCTCTGCTTATTTCTATTCCATTCTAAATTTTACTTTTTGGTACTGTGCTCTGGCACATGGGAAAGAGGGTTGAAATCTTGTCCTTTTTCTTTAATTTCATTTCTTATGTATCTTGCATCTGCTCATTCTTAGATTAGAAAATACTAACAATACTTGGTTAAAATAAGAAGTTCATTTCATGACTACTTGTTGTAATCTAGTCCTGAATAGTTGTGTTTTTTTTTTTTAATTAGACCCTTAAAAATTCCAATCTAGATCAGCAGAAGTTCCCAATATCAGTAAACTAGTGTATTTAGTATATACCAAATTGTAGCTCATGCATTTGACAATATGTTCTGCATTAAGTTTTGGCTCTTTGATGTTAGTGTCTGACTGATGGGAGTTCAAATGAATAATAATCTGTGAAAAATAAAAAAAATATGTTCCTAGCTGATTTGGGAATGTAGTTGAGCCATTAGCTACAACTTTTGCTTTGAGTTTTTAAAGAAGCAAAAAAGGAAAATGATTTTAGTTTCATGAACTAGTTCTTTTCAAACCCTTAACAGTTATCTTATGACTAGAGCAGGTTGACTCTCATGGTGATATTTCTATTTCTGGTCCTTAGATATCATTTCTGAGAAGATATTGAAAGAGTAAGAAAACAATATATTCTTAGGGTTTAAGCACTACAGTTGAACTCCTGCTTGAATTGACAGCAGATTGAACTGTTCAGAGGAAAAGAAATGGTATGTATATATAGCAAAACTTTTCTCTAGGGAAGAAAAAAGAGATGCTCATTTTTATAAGATGATTATTTTGGAGACAATAGTTTGCAGTTTGAGGATATTGTGAACTGTTAATCTGTAAAGCATATTTATAATAAATGAATTGCGGGTTATATATCAAAGCGATTTTTATAGTGTCTAACCTAGTTCTGGGTTTCCCTGGTACCTTAGCTGGTGAAAAATCTACCTTCTATGCATGAGACTCCTGTTCAATTGCTGGTTCGGGAAGATCCCCTGGAGAAGGGATAGGCTACCCACTCCAGTATTCATGGACTTCCCTTTTGGCTCTGATGGTAAAGAATATGCCTGCAATGTGGGGAAACTTGTATTCAGTCCCTGGGTTGGAAAGATCCCCTGGAGGAGGGCATGGCAACCCACTCCAGTATTCTTGCCTGGAGAATCCCCATGGACAAAGGAGCCTGGCAGGCTACAGTCCATGGGGTTGCAAAGAGTTGGATATGATTGAGTGACTAAGCACAACCTAGTTCCCATGCCTTAGAATATTTTGAAAAATGTCAAATATTTTGAAAATAGTATAGGATTTCTTTCTCTGATCTACTCCTTTTAGAGTTTAATTTTTCCAAGTTCTTGCCACTTATTATATAAGTATTTTGTTGTGTCTAAATGTTATTTCACATTTCTCCAAAGAAGACATGCAGATGGCCAAAAAGCACATGAAAAGATGTTCAACATTGCTAATTTGTAAAGAAATACAAATCAAACCTACAATGAAGCATCACTTCACACCAGTCAGAATGGTCGTCTTTAAAAAGTCTACAAACAATCAATGCTGGAGAGGGTGTATGTAGAAAAGGGAGCCTTCCTACACCATTGGTGGCAGTGTAAATTGGTACAGCCACCTCAGAGAACAGTATGGAGGTTCCTTAAAAAACTAAAAACAGAGCTACCTTATGATCCAATACTCCTGGGTATATAGCTGTAGAAAACCATGCTTTGAAAAGATAGCACCCCAGTGTTCATTGTAATGCTCTTTACAATGGCCAAGCTTTGGAAGCAACCTAAATGTCTGTCAACAGATGAATAGATAAAGATGCAGTACACATATATAGTGGAATATTACTCAGTCATAAAGAAGAATGAAATAATGCCATTTGCAGCAACATGGATAGATTTAGAGATTATCATATTAAGTGAAGTAACTCGAGGTATCATATAATATCACTTATATGTGAAATCTAAAGGCAATACAAGTGAACTTACTTACAAAACAGAAACAAATGCACAGACATAGAAAATAACCTTATGGTTGCAAAGAGGGAAAGTGAGGGGAGGGATAAATTAGGAGGGTAGGATTAACATAACATACTACTGTATATAAAATAATCAACAGGAACCTACTATATAACACAGGGAACTCTACTCAATATTCTGTAATAACCTATATGGGAAAAGAATAAAATATATGTATATGTACAACTAAATTGCTTTACTGAACACCTGAAACTAATACAACATTGCAAAATCAACTATATTCCAACATAAAATAAAAATTATATTAAAAATGCTATGTTATTTATTCTGACTATTCAAACAGGATTGCTTCTTTCTGTAGGAATGTTAAGTACAAAATACCTAATAATGGATGTTTATCTGGCTTTAGAGACAGTTTAGAAATTTTTAAAAATTAAACAATAGATGAATAATATCAGAAATTTAAGTGACGCAGCAATATATATAGAAAAACAAGCCAAATTTCTCCTGCATATCTCTCCCTTTCTTTATTTGTCACCTAGGGTTAACCACTGCAGTGTTTGATATCCAGATCTTTTATTCTGTGTGTGTGTGCAGTCTTATTTTGTCTCTGTATTTTTAACATATCGCATACATTGTTCTGCGTTCAGTCCTCCATGTCAATATGGAATATCTTTTTCATGTCAGTACATATAGTTTTAAGTTATTCTTTAACTGCTACGCAGTATTCCTTAGCATTGAGTGGTAGTTTAAGTTTATTACATTTTTAAAAAAATTAAAAATACTGCTCTTGGAATAGACCCATTATGCACAGGCTTAGAGCTTTTAATCTGCAAATGGTGAAAACCATTATATTTCTCTGTTTTTGTTTTCTATGTATGCAGAACACATTAAATTTTTTAAAAAAATCAGAATTGTGAGAAGAAGCAAAAATTGATTAATCCATAGTTGGATTATTTCAACTTCTTTTTAAAAATGCCCAGATTGTGTCATACTGTTTTAGGTACATGATTTAATGTCATTGAAATTGACTTACACTTGTGTCACTGAGTTCCCACATGGAGTTGAGAAGAACAAAAAAGATTACAGTTTTTCTGTGGTGAGACAGGATGGATAAAAGCAGCTTATATCTAAGCTATACACATCTTCATTGATGAATGTGACCAGAAAGCCCATCCATGAAGGTAGGAGCCCTGTATTTTCCTGTTTAGTGTTAGATCCCCTGCATGTCTAGCATGATAAAACACAAAGATGTATGAATGAGTGAATGAGTGCATAAATGCCACATATATGAAGCATGTCAGTCTTTGAGCCATGAGTTGAAAATAACCAGGCAGTTAGGGCTGCAGAGGTTGGCCTTGAATTGAATTGGTATTAACACATCTATCATGCTGAGCACTTAAGCTTTTTAGTAAATTATCAGAAATTTGAGTTATTTTGCTCTCCTATTATGCTTAACTTTCTTTTATAAGTATTGCTTCTGTTTTTTCATGTGGATTAGCATTATCTAACTTATTACCTAAGTTAGTTTTACTTAGGTAGACTTTGGCCAAACCATTCAAAGTGAACAGTCATGGTGAGTAGTTTTTGGTGTGTCTCCCACCAGTAGTTCCTATTTTAATTATTTGTATATTAAGGATGATTGCTGTTTTTAGCAATCTAAAACTAAAGTTCCTAAGTTTTTGAGTGCTTGCTTTCTAATGGGGCTGGTGCTAAATGCTGGGATACAAAATGAAATGCCATCTTTGCCTTCCTGTATCTCCGTGCCCAGAGAACACAAGAATGAGAGGGTGTCTGTTGCATGGCAAGTACGATTGTAGAGGTGCGTGCTGTACAGGCTTTTGTGAGTGGCATCAGTTTGGCCATTCTGAGATGGAGATATCTGTAGTCCTGGAGATGAAACTATCTAATGCTTCGTCATATCTCACCTTCTGGCATTCTTACTTAAGGAGAACCTGTAGGTGAATAACCAGTTTTTAGTATGTGTGTGGTATTCTTCCTCCCTCTATTTCTTGTGTATTATCTGCTCTGTTTGAACAAAGGACTATGAACCATATCTGGCCCCAGCTTCCACCTGCTGTTGGAAAAAGACCTCTTCTTAAATTTCTTTGATGTCATCTGTCATCCTTTTTCCTTGTATTAGTTTGAACACTGATACTAACATTGTCAGGATACGGCAGAACTTAGGATTCTTTGCTAGTGATTTCCTTTTTCTATTTTGGGAGTAGGTTCTAAAAAGAGATAAACAACCCAAGCTTCTATGTCTTTGTCCTTTCCTTTTCTCTCTTTAGGAACTTGTAGGTGGGCACTGTTTTCCTAGCCTGAGGCAGAAACAGTGCCATCCAACTACATTGCTTTCATTTCAAGTTGGCATCAGCTTTGGCAGTAGTGCAATAGTTTGGCCTGGTTTTCTTAAGTTGTAGTTGAAAAGATTCCAGCATTCCTGCCATTCAGAGTAAATAATGCCCCCCTACATCTTTTCCTCACATCTTTTTTTCCACCGAGAATTTAGGGTGGTGCCAGCACCTTTCCCTCTTGTATTTGGAGTTGACCTTTATAGGTCCATATAGACCCATGTTTCTGTGACACTAGAAAATGAGCTCCATGATTGTGAGACCTCTTGTTTACAGGTGTATTCCAGCACTTAGAATACTGCCTGGATAGTATGTGAACAACCCTACCCAGAAGACTGAGTGACTCTTGAATGCACAGAGCTTTTCAGAGCAAGGGATTGTGTTCCTGTTCTTCTTGTGAAGCTTTGTTCATTCCTTATGGTCCAGCAATAGTGTTATAGGGCTGGGCTGCCTCATAACCAATGTTGTTTGCTGGGCTACTAAGAAAATTCCTATTGCTCAGCTTATCCAAGGATAAGGGGAGAGGTTCTAAATGAAGTTTTCTTCTGGGCCCGTGGGCTTGGAATCCAAGGTCCCTGTGACATTAAACTAAATTCCTGGTAGAAGACTTTAGGGAGCCAGCTTTTTGGATGTATCCACAGAGGCAGAAGTTATCTTTTCAACTGTGCCATCAACTTGATTGTGCAGCGTTTCTGGAATTACCCAGGATACCTGTCTACTTGGTCATGTCCTAGCAAAACTGAGAAGCAGTTTTTGTGTTTAAGAACTAAGGATCTGGAACCAGACCTCCTTATTGGAATCTTGCACTGTCATTTCTCTTACGTGTAATCTTTAGCAAATTACTTATTTTGTGTCTCAGTTACCTTATCTGTAAAATGGGAATAAAATAGTACCTAATTCATAATGTCATTTGAGGATTAATATAGGCAAAGGGCTTAGAACTTAGCCTGGTATATAGCGCCAATGTTCAATAAATTTTAATATTTACTTATCTGATGCTGAGAAAAATTCATACCAATTTTACTCATTTTCATTCTAATGCGCTTTCCTGAAAAGGGTGAGAAGGCACAGAGGTGCTGCTGACATTCTGAGAATCTCACTCAGGAGCCGTGTGGGGGCGTGTGGGGGCAGGAGGTGTGTGTGGGGGCATGTGGGGGGGTGTGGGGGTTTGTGGGGGTCCATGGTGGTGTCTTGAGCAAATGATGGCACATAGCATCAGCTTCTGATACCCTCATCTACCAGCATGTGTAAGGTGGAAAACAGAACCTTTGATCTAGAGAGCTCTAATTATCCCCACAGTAGGCCATGCTCAATTTGACAGTGTCATGATTTTTAATATTTGAAAGTTCCAGAATCGCTACTCTGGGATGTAACCCTTTTTCTACCTCCCTCGTG